AATAACCTGTTTGTGTGTTTTGTGATTTCTCCCACAGGCTCTGTGGCCACCTTTGGGAACGTTGTTTATGTCATTTTCTTTGGATGGTGGATATCCTTAATCTACCTGCTCATTTGTCCTGTAATGTTTCTGACGATCCTGGGTGTCCCCTACGGTACGGATCCTATGAACCAGCTGCTTCGCTCAGAGTATTATACTGTCTTCTGAAATATGCAAGATCCTTTTTGTTGTTTTTGTTTTTTACAGGCAAACTTTGTCTAAAGATGGCGTGGTACTTTATTTGGCCATTTGGGAAATCGATAGAAAAGGTAATTGGTTATTTAATGTATGATATTCCACTATTTAAGTGTCTGAGCGATATCATATTCGCCCCTTTTCAGGCCGGGGACGTAGTTAAGAGATCTGCGGCGACGCTTCCGAAGTTTGAGGTCATTCCTGCAGACGGTGCAGACGGTGCGGAGAAGGACTCTGCGCCCCTCTTGATGTCCACCCCGATCCCTGTCCGGATCGCTGTCCCTGAACCACCAGCTCAAAAGACGTCAAAACACTGGGTAAAAAAAAGTCTTTATCACTTGGTGCGTCTTTCTATGTGTTGTACGAATGATTCGACTTGTTCCCTCTGCAGTGTCGCGTCAGCACTTATGTTTGGCTGCTGCTGGGCTTCCCCGTCCTGGCCGTGGTCCACTCCCTGGCCTGCGTGCTCTCCTGGCTGCCGGTCTTCACTATACCTGTGGCCAAGATGAACGCTCGAGCGCTGACCGTCGTCCTCCTCATGGAACCGGAGGACATTCAGATTCACATGCTGGACACGGTAGACATTTATTTAGAATGAAACGTCAGTGGTCAGTGGAGCATAAGCTGGATGAGAGCTGCTCTACTTTGCTTGATATGAACAGAGGTGCTGGAAGTATCAGAAGTCCAAAATGATTACACAGCTCCCCCAAGTGGTATGTAACATGTACTGTACACGTCTTGCAGATGTTTTAAGATTTCTGCTCTTAACACGTGGACAGTACAATAGAAATATGTCTCTAAGAATACTGAGACCGATGCCTTATCCAGAGTAACCACGATGCTGCTGATGTAAAGATATGTTACTGATACCACTAGAGGTCCGCTGGGGGAATATTATGAATTGACCCTTGTATAACAGCTTCCCTTAATCGACTGTTTTCATCCAATTCATTCATTTCTAACTTGAGGTTACAAATTCTCTTTTTCAGACATGTGAGTGTGAGTCCAGAGTCGTATTATGCTGCTATCATGCATTCAACGTGTACTTCTACAAATACACTGTCCAAGGAATCAACATTTTCGCTCTAAGTATCCTATTTGGGGTTGTTGGTTCTAGCCGAAGAGGCTGGTTAGGAAAAAAAAATGTCTTGAGGTCTCTAGATTTCGCCTCAATGTACTCATCTTCTGTGTACTAACGAAATGTACTATGCTGTGGTTGTGTGTGCAGCCATTTGCACTGTTGTGTAGATGCAAACTAAGGACATGTGTGTCTGCTGTTGTCCTTAACTCTATGTTTCCTGCAGACCTGCTTCCCCTGGTATTTATCACTATCATTTTTGGCTACGCTGACCGTGAGCACAATCTATGCAGTTCAGAGACCAAGTTTGCCACAGCCATCACTTCCATCATTCCTCTGTCCTATTATATTGGCATGGGTATAGCCAGGTAAGGTGTTTTGTGGAAAGTAGCCAGGTGTGAATGAAAGAAGAAAGTACATGCCGGAGATGTAATCTGAAACGGTTGCTTTATTAATAAATGCAATGCGGCATTTCCACAGTATTTCTGCGCAGAGCAACTTCGCAGTGGGAGCAGTGGTGAACGCGACGTTCGGCTCCATCTCGGAGATGACCTTCTACATCACAGCACTGCTGCACGGATACCACACGGGCACCAAGTGTTACGAGGAGATTGTTAAAGCGGCGCTCACTGGGACCTTGCTTGGATGCATACTGTTTGTGCCTGTGAGAAAGTGAACACAGAAGTCACGTCTGTTGCATTCCAGACCTCTGATGCCACTCTGAGGCTCCTTGATGACGGTGTTTTTGTGTCTCACCGGCCGCACAGGGCATCTGCATGATCATCGGGGGCATTAGGCACAGCGAGCAACGATTCAACAGTCGGTCAGCCGGAGTGAGCTCCGCTTTGCTCTTCATATCTGTTGGAGGTATGAGTGGCGGATGCGCATTTCCCTTGTTTTGTTTTTTTTGTATACAGTTTGTCCTCAACTGACCATCGTGTTGTATTACCATCCCCAGGTGTGTTTGCCCCCACCATCTTCTCGAAGGCCTTCGGTAACCTGGTGTGTGAAAGCTGCACCAACATCCCGGGCAATGGCAGCGTGCCCTTCGTCTGCAAAGACTGCCACTATGACACGGTGAGTTTAGAAGACGCTTTGTAGATGCGGCCTTGTCCACTGGACCTGCCTTTCGAATTGAGGAGGAGTGCTGAAATGACTTTTTCAACTCCCAAAATTATCCTAATTTTCTTGTGCACCTTTCTGCTCTTCACTCAACAGAGTCAAGCCGTCCCACAATTGGTTCTGTCCCACATTGAGTAAGTCCAGGTGCTACGTGCATATTTATTTCTACTTTACTGTAGAATGGAGTTTTCAGGGTATTCTTCTGTCCCATTCTCGTTAGTGGTAACTTCAAATTTGGCCCAAACGTCCGCCAGGACACACTGATTCCAATTTGGTGGTCAATATCCACATGACCAACAAAACCTGTTGTTTTGACTGAAAAACCCTCATGGCAATTATGACAATTTAAGTGTCTGATAGAATGATGCAGCTTGCACACAGAATTGTAGTTTTTGAAAGTGATCAACTCAGTAGTGTTTTAACGACTTCTTGAATACAAAAAAATGTTTTCTAGGCCCCTGGTGTACACGGTTTCTGTGCTGCTGCCTGCTGCATACCTGATCGGCCTCATCTTCACACTGAAAACCCACTCCCACATCTACGACATCCATATCAGCGATGGTCACGGGGGCCATGCACACGGTGGTCAGTATGCACACGAGGGCAACGAGCAGCCCACTGCTGATGCCACCACTGGCTGCCACCTCGGAGCCAACACGTGTATTAACGCCGCCATGGCTTCCACCGGCCACGTTGCAGCAGGTGTGTCTGTGGTGTGCACGTGGTGTTCTTAAATCGCTCGGGTGGAGGAGCACGAAAGGCCCGATGCCGGTGGCCTGTTAGCTTTGTGCATGTACGGAAAGCGTTTTTCTCGCTGGGGAGGTAACGTTGTGACTGCATAAACAAAAAAAAAAAGCTGGGTGGAAGAGTGAGGTTTAACTTCGGTAGGCTTATTGAGTGTATTCAACCAGCAGGTCATCATGTAGTCCACTGGTCCCGGCTGAGGGCTCTTGGAGTGCTGATTGCGGCCACAATTTTGATGGCCTGCTGCGCTGACCTCTGCACGCAGAACATAGAGCCCATCCTGACCCATTCCTTCATCTCCCAGGTAATCAAAATACTCCCGTCCTCAGGGACGAATGCAAAATGTCGCTTAGGTTCCAAGCTGAAGTGGTTCTTGGTCATAGAGGAGAATGCGAACCCTCAATTCAAGTGGAGGTTCATGAGCCGAATCCAAGAGTTAAGAAGAAAGTAGTTTTAGATTTAAGGACAATGGATTGTGTAGTCCAGTGTGTGTCTTTGCACTTGATGCTGCCCCACCGTTTGCAGTACTTCATCAGTGTCACGGTGTTGGCCATGGTGCCAGAGCTTCCTGAGATTGTCAACGGGATCCAGTTTGCACTGCAGAACAACATCAGCCTGAGGTACGAGTTCACTGTGCTGTGGTAGGATCCTGTTTATACCTGCATTACATTTGATATTTTTCTGTAAGTTGACATCAATGTGGATTGAGTTATTATAAAAGTTAGAAATAATTAACTTGAAATGTATATTTTGGCTACAGCCTTGAAGTGGGCAGTTGCATTGCTGTGCAGGTCTGCATGATTCAGATTCCGCTGCTCATACTCTTCAACGCCTTCTATGTAAGTGCCAATGGATACGTGTCATAATAGACTTCCTATATAATAGAAGTCAGGATTTTCATCCCCGACTCTTTTTTTTTTTTTTTTTTTCCCGCCAGGATGTCGGATTCGTGCTTGTGTTCAGTGACATTCATCTCTGGGCCAGCATCTTCAGCGTCATTCTGGTCAATTACATCTTCATGGATGGAAAATGTGACTACTTTCAGGGTAAGTCAGGATGCACAGTTCTCCATATAAGAATATAAGATCTGTCACTTCTAAGCCATGCAGCAATGAGCGAGCACGTAAAAGGAAGCGTGCCTGCAGTCTAGTCTTAGTAAAGATTAATCACGGCTTAATATGTCGATTTGTATAATGAACTGTTGTGTGGTTTGCAGGCACTGCTCTAGTGGTGGTCTACCTCATCCTTTTGGCGCTCTACTTCTTTGCTCCTTCTCCGCGCTCTTGCTGATCTTCTTGACAAGAACTGTCCTACGGCTTCAACAAACAAAAATACACTGACTTCATCCTCAGGTGCTGCGGATTAAGTGGCACAAAAATGCAAAGTAATCTGGCTTGAGTTTAGTTGACAGAGCTGTAAATTTATAGGGATTTGATTCTTGCCAATATGTGACACATATTCTAAAAATCTGTGCAGCAATTGTTTTTCTTTTGAATTTAAATGTAAATTGGTGGTATTCATTATTTTGGTTCTGATATATTGTAACAACATGGATTATATAAGACATAAATGTATTAATTCATTGATTAAACTTGTGCAAAATAAGGCCACTCTCAACTGGTTATTCGCCACCTACAGTACATTTTTTTTTTCTTTTTCCTTTAACTCTTTTATAAAGATTTTCTGTCAACTCTATACATTTTTAAATTTGACTACATAACAGGACCAATGACATGCGTGTTATGATCCCGTGAGCATTCTATAGATAGAAGTGACAACAGCAGCGCATGCAGAAAGTCTAAATAAAACAATTTGGGTTCACTTGTGTTATGGCAGAGCTCTTTACAGAATACTTTTATTGACAGTACTCCAACACAACATTCACACCAGCCTACTGTACAACATTTTAGTGGTCATCTTTAAAACCAAGTCCCATAGCAAAGGTTTGATGTTAAATTTAAAAGCAGGAAATTACATCATGCACAAAGTACTTTAATGTTGAACATAAATAAAAGGGACAATGTAAAGAAGTGCAGGCAGATCAAACAGCAACATCCACTCATGTGTCTCCCCTAATTCAGCATTTGACTTCCTGTCCATGGTTCAATTATTTGGCATTGGTTTTATGAATCAAACATAGAAACGCCAAGTATTTAACAAGTTACTTCAGGAAACTAATACTCAAAAGGCCTAATATGCTGTGCTCCCGTCCAGTAGCAGAATACAAACTCCACATCCATGAAAAGGCAAAAGAGCTATTTCACCGAAATGTTTGTATGTAAGGGCTTGGTCAAAATAGCTAAATTGTCCACTTTCTTAAAACAATTTACAATATCAACCATTTGTTTAACTGTGCGAAGATCTTATACTGCCTTTGAATGAAATGTCAGCCTCTAAGTTTGAAAAAGGCACTGCAGTAAAAAACAATGTTGATATCAGTCTGCTACTAAAGCAACTCCCTTTGCAAAACATTGTGTCAACAACAGAGAGCGAGTAAATCTCGTAACAGAATGAAGTCTTTATTTGAATAAAAGCATTTCGAGTTAATTTTAAAGAGCACCAGATTCACAGTGATGTGTTGAATGGTTTGCTGTACGAATGAGAACTGAAAGCAAACGGCATGTTAACTGAACCATTTGGAAGAAACCCACCTTTAAACATTTACTGACTTGTTTTTCCACAACAGGCTGTAATGCAAAAATACAGGAGATACAAGTGCTCAAACATAAAATAATCCAGCATTGAATCCCCCGTACAATAATTAAGAGCGTACAGTGTTTCTGCAAGTTTTAGCTAATTTTCCACAAATATTTTTACTCATGAGCATTTTCAAGGCACCCCATACTTGAGCTGAAACTTAAAAACTAAATTAACTGATAACCATCATTATAGTATGAAAACCAATTCGAATTGCATTTAAGGTTGGTGTCGGCTTTATTTTATGCCAAACTAATGCAATTTACCATAACTTCAACAATAAAACAGAAATCCCCATAAGATTGACTATGCAAAGATTTAAAGCAACTCAAAATTTCTAAAAGTTGATTTTCATACCGTAAATAAAAATGCTGCCTGGGAAATAATAAAGGAAAACATGAGATTTGTAATAAATTGGCTATAATGTGCAAAAACACTGCTATGATCCTTCAGCAAAACTACTGTCTGCCACAATTTAGACTGATAAGATCTATTTTAAAAAGTACATGTCCACATATATGCAAGACAAAAAGTGTGCAAACAGCAATTTCAGGTAATGAGGGAAACTGGGGGGGAGGGAGGCGGGTAGTCCAAATAAATACACATGCATTCTTCCTTCACACAGATTTCTTAGAAGTACTAGGGAAGGTCGATCTTTTTTCTTTTTTACATGAAAGACAGTCCTTGAAAGATGGCAAAATGAAGTATTTCCGGTGATTGTTGGAGGATAAGAAGTGGGCATCCATGTTTAGCTTGACACAAAGGCATCTTGTAAGGGGGCAGGGGTGTTGAATAAAATCCATAAAACATTCCACATTTAATTAATTTATCACTGAAAAAAAAAAAAAAAAAAAAAGAGGCATCCCATTGTTTTTGGTTTTAAGGCGGAGCTACGTCAGGCAGGGGAGGGAGAGGGCGTTTCCCAGAGAGCGTTGCTGCAAATTGAAATGCTGTCAGACCTCAACTCCTCCCAGTGCAGCCTGTCCCAGCCACTCACGTGTCCGTCCTCCACTGTGCGGCCTATTTCAAGCGTTCAATGAGTTCCTGTGTGAGGCCCAGGTTGAGCAGCTGCATGGTGGGGAGTGAAGTCAGGTGGGGAAAGGCTTTGAGCAGCTTCTCCCAGCAGAGCTCCAGCAGGCTGGGCCCGGCCAGCCAGATCTTAAACAGAGAGCCCGTCCTCTTGTTCTCGTGGATGTTCACCACGCCGCCGTGGATGTACATACAGCCGGCCTTGGGACAGAGTGAGGGAAAGACGCACATATCATATTGGCTGTGGAGTTTGCTATCTGAGCTAAGCTGACCAGTGATTGGAGATGGAAAAGTTTGTACTAACTGGGGTGACGGCAGCACAGTGGAAGTAGGCCGGCTCAGGCATCAAAGCCGGTAGTTTACTCCACTGGAAAGTCTGCAGGTTGATCTTCCACAGATCAGCCAATATCAATTCCCCGTTGTAGCCGCCACAGATAAATACATCTACATCGGAAAAACAACTGGTCAGATAGCGATAAATAGAAGTTGGGATGTGACGTCCGATTATTACACAAGTATGTTACACAGTTGTCCATCTTATGTTATAGAAAATTTCTCACCATTTCGGATTTGTACACAGCTATGGCATCTCCTCGGAGCAGGATAACCTGTCAAAAGTACAAACATTTTAAAATGCTGTGAAGGAGGGGAAAAAAACGGCTTAATTGAAAGTGAGGTGCGTAATGGGGACCTATTTTGTCATGCGGTTTAGTTGTTATCTCCTCCCAGGAGTTGGTCTCCAGATTGTAAGCATGTATCTATTAAAAAGGCAGAAAACTTGCTGTTAGTCTAGTTCAGTGATTACAATACATTGTGCTTTAAAATTCTGGCTGAATGTCTTCTGGCGAGCGTACTCATAGTGTGTATTCCGTGTAGTACCTTGTCCAGAGGGTAAGATGTCCAGGACGTTCCTCCTCCCAGAATGTAGATCCTCTGTCCGTCATGTGCTATTTCATGCCTGTACCTGTGACACACACACAAGAGCCATTTCAAGGAATTTTAATTGCATCCTGCAGCACGTACAGGCGACAGGAAGGCGTACCGCTCCTCGGGCAGGTCGTCTGGAGGGTTGTTGGGCTTGAGGTGAATCCACTCCCTGGTGGTCAGGTCCAGCCTGTGCAGGTCTGTGCTGTAGATGTAACCCGTCGTCCCTCCAAACACGTAGAGGAAGCCATTTATGATGACCATCGCCTGAAGAAGGAAAGGCATAACATTTTTAGTTTAGGAAGAAGCAGCTCTTAAGAAGTTACGGAGTTTTGGAAAACCACCGGACCCAACTGGATCACAACCAGTATGTGTCAAAAAGCCCTTCAACGGATTTGACAGAGTAAACAATTTGAGGTTACCTGTCCATAGATTCTGTTGGGCTTCTTCCCCCGACAGTTGAGCAGCGACCATCGCTTATACTTCACGTTGCAGACATGGACGTCGTTGCCGTTATTCTCGCCAAAGGGAATCCCAGTGCCGCCAAACACCAGGAGGTTGTTGCCGTGCAAAACAGCTTAGGAAACAAAAGCAGCGGCAGGCTCAACATAATTACACACTTTCAACAGAAAAACGGAGTTCTTTATTTCTTTATTCTCATTCAAGTAACGTCTCACCCGACATAGACGCCAGCTCTGTGGGCATGTAGCCCTCCGTTCGAATCTGCTGCCAGCCGCCGGTGGCAAAGTGGTACCGCCACAGCTCCCTGAACAGCGGGTAGTCTTCGTTCTCCGAGCCTCCGGACTCGTCGTAATCGGGGTTGTACCCGCCGAACACGTACAGGTTAGTGTTGTCCGCAACACAGCGGTGCCCACTGCGGGCTGGGGGAGCACGGTGACCTGGAGAGGGAGGGAGACAAAGTTCCACAGGATGAGGAGGGGAGAGGCGAGAGAGAGACACCAGACGAGACCCGCCGCGTTGTGAAATCATGATCATGCTTTTATCAGGCTTCCTTGACCCGAAAAACATCCGGGGGACACCGGACTGTACACGGGGGGCCACAGGGTGAACATTTGAATGTGGCTCACCAGGCACGGCCCTGGTGACACATCTGCTCCTTTGTGCACGTGGGGAAAGCAATGCAAACAGCAGAGAATAAAACGCTACCACAACACTGAAGGCCTTCAGGGACAGCATCAAATCATTCACCTTAGAAGAACTTTGGCCAAACAATGCATTTTTTTTTAGAATTATGTTGTTTGCAGAATGCAAATTAAGGGAATGATTAAACACCAGCACTAATACAAGGAAGCAAGTTATTTCAGAATTGTAGCAGACCATGATTTACTGGCACCGTTCTGTCGGATCACAATCAATATGTTACAAGCGGCAGATGCGCAGACTATAAAGACTAAATAGTGCATTTAGGTTCTCATGAGGAACACAGGGCTGAATTTGATCAAATGTTGGAGGCATTACCTTTCCAAATGAGCCGCTAAAACTGTGTTCAGAGAGCTACACACGTCCTAGAAGTTAACGTCACATTCCCTTCTCTTACACAATCCCCAACCTGAACGTTAAACAAAAACGCGGCTTATTTTGGCCACATGTGATGTTTGTTACAACTGCTTATTTGTACTGAGCTGTAATAAAAACAGGATGTAGAGTTTGGCTCTTTAACGTCTCTTCTCTTCATTTGATACAATTTGGGATCACTGTGAGCTAATTAAAGTGTGCAGTAAGCGGTTAGTTGGGAAAGTGAATGACTCATTTATTGATAAGTTATCAGACACCAAAGGCCATCCAATACATTTGGCAGCTGCGAGTCTAAATCAGAAACCAGAGTTTTTGTGATGCACATTGCTTGAACCCAGGTGCGAATGACCTTTGCCAGCTGCAGTCTACATCTGTAGTACACATAAACAACAACAAAACAGCAGAGAGAAAACAACAGCATGGCCGGGATCTCTACAAACGACGTGCCACAGCCTTTAATCACGCAACGTTATCACCTGGAATCAGCGCAGCTCTATACAACCCGATCGATGATCGCGTTTCAGGCCCTGTAACTACAAGCTAACGGTGCAGCTGAAACACATGCGTTTGCAAGAAGGTGGACGACCATCATTACCACTTGCGTTCATTTTGCAAAACGTAATAAATGAAGGCTAGTAAGCTAACGCCACATTGTTGAAAACAGCCCTAACGCTAACATTACCGTTAGATGTCGCTAGCTTTAAAGTAAACACCTGCTAACTTTAGCTAACGTTATTTTAGGCAAAGCGGCTGTAGGGAAATGTCTCGCTTCCGAACCCGCAGATGTCGCATCAGTACGCGGGGCGGCGGACGTCAGTCACACGGGGTCTATTTGACAGGCAAAAGCATATGGCAACGTTAAGGTAAACCGTATCGCTGGCATGCTGTGGACCGACCTGCTAACGTCTCACCGTGCGGCGGCCTGCGTGTCAGTTTCTCGAATCTATTCAGCTGGTCTGGACTGCGAGCGCCTTCGGTGTCCGACATCGCTCCCCTGTTACAATCCAGCCCTGAAGGACGTCACTCTGAATAAAACCAACATCTGCTAAAGTGCTCTTAAAACATTATATATCGCTCCACATCCCGGTCGGTGGGAAGCCATTCACAAATGTTACTGCCCCCCTCCCTCCGCCCGCGGCAGTGAGGCACTTGACCAATCACAGGGCTTGTTATTAGGAGGTCATCAGGAAGCGTCATTGGAGGTGGGCGGGGCTGCGCGTGTCGTCAAAACAACAACATTTTTTTCCTCCTCTGTCAATTGATCGGCTGGGATTGGTTATTATTCACGTGGTTAAATTAAAAGTTCAAATAGATGTCATTCTGTTGGAGAATAGCCTACTTTTTATTTAATTCGCTGTAAAACATAATAGTTAGAATCTTGTAATATTAAGATAAAGATTATGTATGTAATCTTTGAAGGTAAACTCATCTTCATGTCATTAAAAACAGCTAACTGGTAGCTTTGGCAATGCACAACAACGCAAAATAACAACTTTATAAAATAATATCAACGCATATCACAAGACGCTAACTCTAAATAATAAAAAATGTGTAATGCAAAATGGCAATGTATAATGTATAACATACAAAGCATCCTAACCCTGGGAAAGGTATATTTGTTGATGCCTTAGAAATTTAGCATCCCAAACTTCAGTGTCAGTTTTAATTTGAGTTGTGTTCAGTCTGGTTGTTGCGTTCAAAGTAATCATCCATGAGCTGGTTATCAGCTGATAATGAGGACGTGATGACAACACTCTTACTTCAAGACTTTAATCGAGTATTATTAGATTGTGGTACTGCTGCTTTTACATCAAGGGTTCCATAAAAACACCCTCTGTTGTACAATCATTATACTTTAAATTGTATGTGAAGTAATTATGTCAAATGAAAATAAAAACATTTTTAAAAAAATATTTTCATTTGAAAGATTTTTCAAAGAATAATTCCTTGCTGATAAATATTTATCAACTAAATACCGACAGGTAAAACTTACCGAATTCAGCTGAAATTAGCAGTGAAGAAGTCAGCCGTTTAACGTGTTGATCTATTTCCCCGGCACCCCGGACGTCTTACAAGGCGGAACGTTTGGCGTCGGGTTTTATTTTCCGGGGGACCACAGAGCCGATCATGGCGACTCTCGGCGGCAGTCGTGGGGATCGTCTCGGCAACACCGATCAACAAAAGCCTTCTTTTGCGTCTCCGGAGAAAGTTCGCGAACTCCTCAGTGCAGGAGTGTCCTCTGCAGAAGTCGGACCCGTCAGGTGCAGTTTGTTGTTTTAAACAAGTCGCGCGCTGTATCGTTAGATTGAAAGTTGGCGTTAGCTAATTCAGTTAGCCACTTAGCGCTGCTGCTGTAGCCGCCTTCACACAGCGTCACAGGGACAAGTCTCCACAGATGTAACTGCTTCAATGGCCCAAAACGGCATTGCCGAGGTTATCGTTGATTGCATTTACTCTATGCACTTTGGCGTGCATTTGGTCATGGCAGATATTGTGCAGCATAAGCTGCGTGCACTGTTCCAGATAAGGGGGGGTGGGGACCGAAAGTTTTGCTGGAACATGATGCTCTCATTAGATTGCCATTCCCTTCTGGAAGTGTGTTGTCCACTCACTGTCCAGCAGTCAAGGCCGGGTTATAAATGCATTTAGTGCTCCTGATCGTCCTTGTCCAGCCGTGTCGGGTTACGAATAAATTACGAATATGTCAATAAACAGCATGCAGAGATGTGATTTGATTTGCAGGGATTTGTTATCATTCAAATCAGAAGTGTGCGTGTGGACACTAAAGATGTGTTTTCCATTTTTGTGCATTGCAGTGAACAAGGAAATCTCAACGTCCTGGAAGTAAAAAGCAACACTCAAGCATCTTGTGAGGCAACGAACAAAGAGGCTTTTTTTTCCAGAGTGGAATCCTACTCAATATCCTTTTCCGTCCAGTTTGTTTATTTCTTCATCACAGCACTTGCTGACCTTCGAAATGTTTAAAAAAAAAATATTTAACATGAAACTTTGGGAAATGTCTAAATGTCTCCAATCATTTATAATGAGTGTAACAATACATTTGTGTCGGGTGAAAGTTTCCTTAGCCTAGCACTGTTTGAAATGGGCAGGAAAGCCCCGCGCACTGTCCCCTCTGATGTGTGCCAGATACGGCTGGATCAACATCGGCTGTGATATGCTGAAGTGCTCCAGCTGCTACGTTTTTCTTTGCGCATCACTACAACCGACCTTAGACTTTAAAAAATGTGAGTCAGCCTTAATTTGGGTATAATGATAGGGACACCGCACACTTTATTATGGCACGGTTTTACATACCAGAGCAGAATAATGAAAGGTCGAGCGACTTTGTTCTTCTTTCTACAGATGGGTCCCGTGTTGCAGAGATTTCAAGGCAGCTTCAGACGCAGCATGAGAAATTCTGCCCCTGGCCTGACTTTCCATGCCCGGGTAGGATCAAGAGTTCTGTATTGCATGTTGTTCCTAAACCAAAAAAAAAAAAGAATGTCATGTGTTTTAAGATGAATTTGACCTGAGCGTTGATGTCATTTCAGAGCGGTTCTGGCTGGTTCCAGCCAGCGAACCGTCAGCCCTGCTCACTGCCTTCTTAGAGCGCTTCCAGAGCACCTGTCTCCTTGCACAGCAGTTGCCTGCCATGAAGCCGGAGCAGCTGAAGTCTATGGTGAGGCACGGGAAGCCTTTGGACAGACTCATGTATTATAGAATACTACTCCGAAAATCTACAATTTTTAGTTGATCACATGTACATGAATGTCCACTGTTTCTTTGCAGTCCTTGACTGAGGACGTTATCAGTGTTGTACTGCAGCTGATCGAGGACGAACAAAAAAGAAAAGGAGGCTCTCCATGTTCTGAATCTTTGGCGGTCCAGGTGGCTGCATGCATTGTTTCTCTCTGTGGCTGGGCTGGAAGGTGAGGTGACCTCCCCCGACCTCTTGCTGTTACAAACTTACATGCAAACTCATACTGTCATAATCCAGAGTAAGCACACACATCCTCGTTGAATGCCCGTGCTTTGTGGGAGGAAATGTGAGGACAGTTGGTAAACAGAGAAACCACAAACCTTTTTTTAGCACGTCCAGCCCATCGAGATGTCTGAGCAATTGGTTTTCTCTTTCTTAGCCCAACGCTCCAAACAATGAACCTGCCCATCCTGACCTGCTCGTACTGTATGCGCAAGGTGGGCTTGTGGAACTTCCACCAGATGGAGGGAATGGGGTCTGATGGCGACACCTCACTGAGCGCTGTGGGCCCGCCTCTTCAAGCAACATACCCCGCGCCGGCCTCCACGCCCGAAGGCCAGGCGGAGCAGCTGGCCTCTGCCTCCTCCACCCCCGCCACTCCAAGTCGCATGAAGCTGAGGAGCCAGGACTCGTCCCGCTCTGAGCAGGCAAGCTTTAGTCAGATGAAGGTTGAGCAGCTAAGTGAGCTAGGCTAGTGTGCACATATTTATTTAAGCAGTTCTTCATAACAGGGAATGTACCAGGCTGCTTTTTTTTTTTTTTTACCCGTCTCTGTGTGTTCCAGAGTGAGGGAACCTCCTCCCCTGTGTCTTTGCGAGCCCGAAGCAGAGACTCGCCAAGCCCCAGTGAAGAGCTGCAGAGTCCTTTGCCCAGAGGCAAACGGGCTGTGCCTCGCAGTAGAGGACAGGGGGACATCTCTGGATCTGAGGGAGCTGCCAGTCCGCATAACCCTCCTAAACGCCTGTGCCTCTCAACATCTGGCGGCCCTGTAAGAACTAACGTCACTGCTGATTTCACATATTGTTTTCCGTAGTTCTCCAGCTGCACCTACACTTTCAGAACTTATTATACAGTGTCATCTGGTCATAAATAAGGGTTTCAGGAGTAATATCATCATTCAAGATGGAGCAGCACAATCTTTTGCAGCACAATCTTTTTTCACATTTAATTTTTCTTATCCCTGTGTGATGTCATTGTTGCATGTCGGATCCTGCATCATTTTGATTAGCAATAAAATCCTTTACATGGACGTCAGTGCTCCTAGTGCCTATTTATAGGCAGTGTCGTCAGATTACAAGGATTAATTGTACAGTTTTAGAGGAGGCGTCATGTATTCCACGGTGAAGGTTAGCATCAAAAGCACCTAGTTTGTGTTTTGTCCGTCCTTGCACCAGTTAGCAATGTACATTTATGAAAGTCACATCAACATGATCCTCGACAAGCTCACAAAGGCACAATGAGACCACACATATTATCTAAACATTGTTACCCTAAGAATCATGACGTGACGAGTAGGACTTTATCCGGTATTTTACCCATTACCTAACTCAAGAAAGGGGAATATAACAGATTACAATACTAGTTCAATTTTGAATTTGTTATAACGAACTACTGCCACCTTTTCAGGATGGGCTCCTGCACAAGAATACATTTGACCCCGTCGCTCAGCACAGAGACTGGTGTCCCTGGATCTCTGTAGGGAAGGAGAACGTGGATCCAGGGGCGATCCCCTGTTTGGATGGAGTCTCGCCGCTCCATCAGCAGGGCTGGAAGGCTGCTCTCGACCTCCTCGTGCCCATGAGGGTGAACTCCAATACAGCCGACACTAGTCCGGGACAGGCAAGTCACGAATTTGTATTCTCAACAAAAAAGACCACGTCCTATCCTGTTAATGTGAACGATATGTGACAGTTCTCTTTGCTCTCTTTCCTCTCAGGGCCCTCGTGAGAAGTCTAAAAGAGTGTTTGCTATATTCCGACAGTGGCAGGGATCCGCCTCTCCGTCTCAGTAGACCATCCAAACGGCATCACGACGCTGAATTGATGAACTGACCTGCCCTCTTCTTTGGCAGTGTACGGTCGGTAGTACCAGTGACAGGAATGTCATATCACATCATATCAACGTATGCCATCCTCCTAAAGTTGTGTTTAAAGTGTCTCTGGAGGAAAAGAAAGTTGATTGTGTCTTTTGGCATATGACTGCGTGTCATCTCTATGAACAGTGACATATGTGAAGGATGCCAGTGGGGCGTTACAACCTTTTTGAATGGTAATGAAAAATGGGATGAGTGGATATTGGAGCCTCTAGTGGCCTTCTATCACATCTGTGCATAAGAAGTCATCAAGTAATAGGACACATCTCAACGTATAGATTGGCAACAAAAGAGGCGTTTACATGGGAGTCTGCTTCTGCAGGTCGTCGTGACATCAGGATAGCCTGGATTTTTCTAGCATGCAAGAGGCCATAAATCTTAATATTGCGAGAACGGGCCCGGCATGACACTGGAAAGGCAATGTTTACCTTCAATGTATGTTGAGTCAACTGAGAGATTTATCAATGTTTAACCTCCGATGAGCATAAACAAACTGTGAGGAATCGTTTTTGTGTACCATTGTACGTGAAAGGTAATGTGGATATGAGTTCTCTTTTGAAAAGAACAATCCCTTTTCTAGTAGGGAAATGTTTATTTTCTCTTACGATACATTACAGAAATCTTTAATGTCTGCAAAACTCACTCCTGATTACTGCAGGCAAGTAGAACCGTGTGACATAAACTTCAACCATGTTTTTAAATTAGATTACAGATTCCTGTACTTTTTTGCCTTTTGTGTGCATCTCATAACGCAGTCCTTTCTATCTTGCATGTGATTTTATCTTCATGGAGTTTCCTAAAAGCGTTTAATAAAATGCTCTTCTGTAAGTTTGGATCGCTTTGCTTCTTTGTCCACTGACATTTCCATTTATGGAAGGATTAAACATGTATCAAAATGATGGTATTGTGAATTAAAGGAATATATACACACACACTACATTAAGATATGACTGTTGCAAATAATTCACTTCCTATTTTTGCAACTTTTGCAGTGATGTTAATCTATTGAAATTACTTAAATCTTTAACTGCAAACATCAACTTCCTTTGTTTAAAAAGATGTTGGACTGGTTACACAAAAACTACAAAATAATTTTAAATTGCAAAACCATGTGAAATGACTAACTATTATGTTTTTTCTATTTATAATGCATACATCATAAATTGCAGCGCCAGATAAAAGTGAGTCCAGAACCAAAAGTGCTTTGTATAAAACTACAAAGCGACGTTCAGTCGCAGAAATATGACGTAGCGCGCGGAGGGATCCTTACTTGTCAGGACCGCGGTCTAAACGCTCACAGGCAGCAGTACTCATTAGGACGGAGAGCCGTGGAACCGTGAAGACGTTTTGCAGTGAACATTTGGGAGAACAAATGTTAACTTTTGGATAGTACCGTCTGCTGGGCTGTCTAGCGTTTCGGGGGAGGAGGAGGGGGCAGCTCTCAGTTTTCTTACTGGTGCTCTGCGGTGGAAATAGGAAAAATGTCGTCTCCAAGTCCGGGCAAAAGGCGAATGGATACCGATGTGGTGAAACTGTATCCTTTCTGAACATAAACAACAGTCGCTCACGCGCTGTCAACGTCCCGATGCACGTGCGAATACGGTGTGAGCTAAACCTCTTTGTAACCCTAAAGCAGACAGCTTTCATTGTAAATTACTGGTGTGTTTTTTTGTGTGTAAACAACATTTCGCTAGCAAAGCCAAAGAGTTAACGTTAGCTATTTCTGTCCTGTCGGTTCTCTGGACAACTGTGTTAGCTAAACGCAACGGGTCGCGTGCCCCTTTTCTTTTCTTTTTTTAAAGCATTTTTTGCGTGTGTCCATATCGCACGATTCACACGAACGGACGCCTACATGACGCTCTGTGCTGCACCACCAACAGACCTGGCATTAGTGGACTGTGTCAACAAACACCTTGTCAAAATGCGGCTTCTTTGTCCGGCCCAAAGTGCCCCCCTTTTTTTCTCACGTTTTTCCACGTGGGCACGAGAGCTTGTTTACATAACGTGGGCCCAGCGTCAACTTCGCAGCGCTGCTGTCTTTTGTTCTACTCTCACGAAAAGCGAGGGCGATATTGCAGCATTCTGGGTCTTGTTCGCTTTTGCTCGGAAACCCCCCCCCCCCCCCTCCTCCACTCACCCAACCGAGGGGTTTTCCTCGCGTGTTCTCGCATCTGCCACTTGTGATCGTACCTTGTAACGCTGCCGAACTGGCCTGGCTAGTCTGCTGGTTAATTTCAACATCAAAATGGCTACCTGCTCTGTGCGTGTGTGTGTGTGTGTCTCTCAGTGTCTGAAGGCACATGGAAGGCTAACTGTGATCATTTGTTTGTGTCCGATATTGGAGTCTGAATGAATGTGGCAGCTGTTTTTATTTTTAAGTGGCAGAGCAGGTGTCATTTGCCTGCAGTGGTTTCTTTTGTTTTTCCCAGTCGTGGTCATCATGTTTATTTTTGTCCTTCTGATGTTGTCAACTTTAAAAAAACAAAAAACTTTTCATTAAGTAATTTCCAGTCCACAACATCTACCAGAAGATCATTATGAACAAGTAGTGTTTTTGTTGTCCCAGCGCAGTGGAAAGCAGCTTAATGATTGGGTAGCTTGTTACTAGCCGGAAACCACCAGGGAGGGACTAAGAACAGCTGATGGCTGTGCAGCTTAGTCAAATATGGGGCTCGAACTGGGCAGGACACAGCCATCCAACCCCCCCCCCCCCTTTGTTTTTGGATGGATGTGATCTGTCCCAGCAGGGGTCGACACAATGATCAGCAAAAATCTTAGTTGTAAGATCTGTTTTCAGTTTTTAATTGAATCAAGGCAACCGTATTATGAGTTCTGTCTGCTTATAAACACCTAACATACCTGCATTTCGTAAATGCACCCTGCCTGATATTTGCAATGATAGTGGCTTATGTGTAAATGAACCAGGAAGCTCAATTCCTCTTGTTGTTTTGCCTGTTACCTCATGCATTGCCACCTAGCAATAGTACTTGGCCCCCCCCCCCCCCCCCCCCCCCCAACCTACCTCATCCCTGCAGCTAATGTGTAGGCAGCCGCGGCAGATTGGTAAAAGAGGATTGCGGCACAGACCGAGACAAGCAGCCCTGCAGTAGTCGCACACCGCACCTCCTCGTCGAGCTACTTGATTGACAGGAAAGGGCAGGTTTTGTTCTCTGCCTCTTGCTCACGCTACATACAATGACTTGTGTTTTGTTTTGCTGTTCCACGAGTGCGCACTGTTCACGGTGACAGCCGTGCATGTTTTTTTTTTTAAATGTAGGTCCACAGATTTGAGATTTACCGGCATCGCGTAGGTTCTGTACACACTGGTGCTTCTAGTTGGAGGAGGGGGAGGCTCTTGCTGGTAAAGGAAACTCTTCCTTCCTCCTGTTAGTGTCCCCAGAGCCCAGAACTACCAGTAACAACCTCCCCGCTGTGGTGCCCCCCCCCTCCAAGTAACCAAAACCAGAAACTCACAGCGCCTTTTTTTTTTTTAGATAGGAGTGGCTTCTTTCTTACGAGGTGACACCGAGAGCCGTCACGCGTTAATTCGCTGAGGCCACCAGAGAGCGGTGAATGTAGAGCGCCGGCCGTCAGGGGATTCACAAAAAAAACGAACGTCACAATGACCTCCGCGTGTCGTAGCGCTGCGTTTTGAAGCTTTGTCCTCAGCCAGGCTGATTGACGGCAGCCCACTTTCACCAGCCAACAGTACAGTTTCTGTGTTTGCATGCCAGTAGCCTGGACTCGTACTATCTAATGCTATATAGGCCGAGAGAGAAGACCGCAAGTGTTGGTTTTACGCTGACTTTCCAAAGTGTCCTCTACTCTTTGACCCCCCCCCCTTTGCAGTGATCCCGAGCGTCAAGAGACTGCTTGTTTACCGTCAACTTGCTTGCCAAACTGCCCTTCTACGACCTTCAGTCAAAGCAACTTTTTGTTGCATACTTCACTATGCCACAGTATCCATCACCTGACCTGGCATAGATGCCACTTCAGGTTCTGGTCTTCCAAAGGACAATGTCTCCCCCCCCCCCCCCCACATGCCTCCATCCTCCCTGAGCGGAATGCCGATCCTGAGCGTTCTCTGCGCCCCGGCTTGGTGTTTCGGCTCCATTGTGCACTTGTAACATGACATCCGGGCAGCATCAGCAGTGAAGTCTTTTGTGTTTCCCGTTTACAAAAGTCCCCAATAGGACCTCCACCTCCCGCTGTCACACAGTCACAGGCAGCTAATCGGCGCCCAGTGCCATTATTGGGGGAGGCTGGACCAACTAGACGCGTTTTCTGTAGCGAAGGAGCCAGTGAAGTGAATAGGACCGTGATGTACTCATGGCGGGAGTGGAGAAAGCTCTGGTTTGGTCATGTAGTTCTGTAAAGAAAATGCTTGTTTTTGAGGTGTAATGGAAATAAGTACAGCAGGAGACACGGAGAAGCTGAGAGGATTACCGGGAAAGCATTTTGCCTCCAGCTAACTGCCGGTATGAAAAGCACACAAGCAACAAAAACAGATGCAGGTTTTTTCAATTTCTACACGGTCAAATGATATGTGGTTTGACGGGGAATCCAGAACATATTGGGACTTTGCTACTGCTACTTTGGGCATTGGCCATATGGTTAAACCGAGAGCCCATTTATCACACCGTACTGCATGTTTATTGTGGCCACGGGTTGATAATTAATCCGTAGTAAGAAGCTCAAACACTGACAAAGACATGGTGCGAAATGTCTCACCTACTGTACACTAAGTTATCTGAGCTGAGATAATAACGTCCTGGGACGGGGATAATTAAATACCCAAACTCAAATGGTTTGGATCTGATCTGAAGGCAGTCAAACATAATGCAGCCCCCACCCCACCCCCCGCCGGGCTCCCTTGATTGACAGTCCTGTTCTGGAGGTCCAGAAGCAAAGCATCTCTGACGGTAGGAGATTTGAGGCCCTCACTGTTACTCCCACAGTGGCGCTTCCTGCGCGCATGGCTCAGTTCCTTTTAGAAAAACAGATGGACTGAAGTTCCTTTCTTTGTTTCACTAGATTTCTTTTTTTTCCTTTTGCTGGAGAGCTCGGCCCGCCTCCGCCGCTCACGCTCGCTGCTGCTTTTAATGTGGAAAAATCCAAAGGAGGCTACGTTTGGTCCTTGGGATGTGACACAGACACTCGTTCAGCTTTGCTCGGCGTCTCCTCAGCATGGCAGCGTTGAAATCCGGGGCGGGGGGGGGGCGAGCGCTGCGAATCTTGCCATGTCCCTTTTCGTGGACGTGCTCATTAGATGCTTGCCTCAGATTCAGGTCATCGCTTCTCCCGCCCCGGCTCAGTTATGTGATCATTAATGATAATTTTATTTGTGTGTATGCACGCTCGGGCTCCGTAAATAGACTGTTGATTTAGTGGAGGGACGCGAGGAGGAGGAGGAGGAGGAGGAGGAGCAGCTGAGGGACGCGCGTTTGATTGCAGTGGGTGGGCTGCTCGTCTTCCACCAGCGCAGACAAAGAACTTCGGCTCATCCAGCTGCCACACAGGGAGGAACCCATCCGCTAACCCAGTACACTCGCGACTGTCTATTCCTAAGATTTTGAGTTAATATTCTGCTGGGGATTTTTGTTTGGGAGGTAGATTTTTAAAGATGTATTCCTCTAATGTTTTACTGTCATTTTCAAAATTGTTGGTGTAATAGAAAATATATTGTTTGCCTCTTACACATTTCTGTCCGAGATCAAACCGTTCCATTAACTCTCGTGTTTTTATCTGCACTGGTAGCCGTTCTGATTACAGTTGTAGATTTTCAGTTGTTCTTCTTGGATGTTAAATTCTCGTCTAGACTTTCTTAGTTGAAATGTATTCAGAGATCTTTTTTTTTTTCCTCCATCCAGCGAGTGCAGCACTTAAAAGCACCCGTGCAGTTACGTGTGGACCTCGTGGAGTCGGGCCTTTGAGGGCCCGATGTGCCCATTGATATGTAAAACGAGCTGCAGGGTTTTCTTTTCACCGGCCGCACACACGCTGGCGCCAAGTGCTCCACCGCATGGTGTCGGGGCGAGCTGACCTACTCTCTGACTTTCATATTTCTCAAACAAAGTTCGGAGTTACGGAACGGAGAAAAACGGATCCGTATGGTTGTTCCGAAGCCTTTTGGTTTCTTGGCTAATTGTTACCAAACTGAGCTCCAATGCAAATACAAGTGCTGTGGCTCACTTGTAATTATCTGCCTGAGCCTTGTGCCTGTCATGCAAATCTCTGAACTTAGACCAACATTTGTCTGACTGCTGTCTAGTTTATTTAAGATCCTTCCGTTACCTTTGTTTGTAAACAACGTTTTGGACATTCGAATGTGATCCGCATAGTTCCAGCCTCGGTCATCACAGCTATTCTATCCGTGTCTTTATAAACTGTTACATCACTTCTTGTGGCCTATTTTTTTTTTTTTTTTTGGTTCTACATAAAATAATCACATGGGCCTAACGGGTTTTGCGAGTGTGTCGTAGTAAAGGTGATTACGTCCGAGGATCTACAAAGCCGTCTCTCGTCTCTCTTGCGGGATCCGGGCAGCATGAGGGAGGAAGTGAGAGCAGCTGGCGTGACCGCGGGCGTGTTCGTATCATACTCGCGCACGTATTTTCAGTTATTCGAGCCAGCCAGGACAGTCGGGATCAGCCAAGACCCCCACCCGCCGCCCACCCCTCATGCTGGAGCAAAGAATGATAAAATGTGAAGGAAGTTGCCTGTGGAGCTGCAGTGGATTCAGAACTTTTTTTGCGTCTCCACCCACAATACGTTTTTAAATATGCCGACTTGTTTTATATCATTTTATTGCAACAAGTAGCATATACATTTTTATCATCAGCTTTCAAATTAAATGGAACAACCTCTGAATTTTGGGCTTGATATAAGCAGATACTCTTCTCACCGACTTTCGGTGTGACCGGTTCCACGATACAAACACGGCACCTATAACCCCCTCCCCTCCTGCTCCCGCCGGCTGCGGCTGGGTAGTTGTTGCGCCGCCCCCCCCCGGCTGCCACTGTGTTTTTCAGACCGCTGAGTGTGCTCCGGCTCGGTGCAGAGCGCATAAAAGAGATCATTGCACATTTCCACGCGGTCTCGAGAAGCGATGCACATGTTGAAATAGAATCATAGACAAACAAGTAAACGCCCCCAGGAATGCTGGGGGAAAAAAAATAGTATCGACTTATTTTTCAGGTGTCTTTATTGTTTTCCACAAGAATAAGTATTCTTCTTTGTGATCTCGTTCTTTGCGTAGCGGACACGCTTTTCGGCGGAGGAAGCCGACCCGCTGCCTGCACTCTGAGGACGGCTGCTACGTTTCCTGCCTTTCATCTGCAGGGCCTCAGTGTTCGCTGCAGCTACCGTCTGTGTGCAAGGGGAGAGAAAAGAGAGAGAGGGGTCCAAACAAAGATTTGCCCAACAAGGAGTTACTCCCCCCCTTTAGTGTTTCAAAGAAATCCTTCCGCACCACGGTTTCTTTCTATGCGAGGCCCCCGAAAACGTCCCCTATGAGGACACGCAGGCGTTTAGGCTGAAACGCGGCTGTGTTTCCCCATTGGTAGGATATGAGTCCTCGAGTGGTTGGAGTGTAGCACGCGCCTTCCTGCTCTCAGTCCCCATCACAATGTGACCCGTAGCAATTTACTCGAGATGAAAAACTGTCATCAATATAAATCTGGTTTAAAAAAATAATCCCATGTAAATCTTGACTGACTGTTTATAACGGTAACGGTTTATATTTGGAAGCTACGTTTTATTTGTCGTGTAAACACAGAGGCAAACTCATCATCTCGGGCCCGCAGTCCGCAGCAATGATGTCAGCCCCAACCACAGATCTGCCTGCAAGGCGAGACGGTTATTCAGCAGGCTGCACGCTTTCCTGCCGCTTATCGCCGCGTCTCTGCATCGCCGCGTCTCTGCATCCCGCTTTCCATGCGTCTTTTTTTGTTTTTTGCTTTATTCCTCTTCACAACTCTCTCTGCATCATCCTGTCATG